ACAAAGAGTGAAAAATTTAAGGGGGTCTGAATACTTTCCGTACCCACTGTATATGTAAAATATATTTACACAAAATATGAATCATATATAAATATGAATATATATATACAAGTAAATATTTCTTAAATATATACATGTATGTGTGTGTATTTATAAATACATCAGAATATACACAGCACACACACACATATATTATATAAACACAAGCTTTATTTGGAATGCGATTTATCACGATTAATTGAATTGTATTAATTGATTAATCGATTTACATGAGGCTAATTTGTGATCAGTCCATTAAAAAGAACCGTTTCATGAGAGTCATTTGTTTATGAATCAGACTACACTGGTTGTGCTGTTTGTTCAAATACATACATCTCAAAACCACGAGTCATCAATTCTTCGAAAGCACTAAAAGAATCATTAATGGAACTGTTAAGGAATCTGATCATTAAGTGGAATCCAATTAAAAAGCAAATGACTCTTATGAGCTGGTTCTTTTAAATGAATCAAACAAATGAACCGGTCTCTAATTGATGAGTTATCAATTGTTTAAACTAAGATTCCTTAATGGAATCATTAAGGATTTTGAATAATTAAGTGGTATCCAATTCAGGAATGAATGACTCTCATGAGCCGTTTCTTTTTGTATCAGCCATTGGGGTAAAAAAAAATTCACTTTTTTCTGAAAACAAGTTTTATCTTGCACTTTCTGCTCCTTAAGTGCATGCATCTTGTTTTAAGGATGATGATTTAGATTTTTTATTGGAAAACAATAATATTTATTAAGAAAAATATTTTTGCATTGTACAAGTGAAGCCCAGTGTGAATAAAAATAGATGTAATATCACTCACATGGCCTAAAATCGTCGCCCAATGTGTAGATCTAATGGCTCCTGTGAATAAAAGAAACACTTTGTTCTTTTAAATGAATCAAACAAATGAACCGGTCTCTAATTGATGAGTTATCAATTGTTTAAACTAAGATTCCTTAATGGAATCATTAAGGATTTTGAATAATTAAGTGGAATCCAATTCAGGAATGAATGACTCTCATGAGCCGTTTCATGTTGTATCAGCCATTGGGGTAAAAAAAAATCACTTTTTTCTGAAAACAAGTTTTATCTTGCACTTTCTGCTCCTTAAGTGCATGCATCTTGTTTTAAGGATGATGATTTAGATTTTTTATTGGAAAACAATAATATTTATTAAGAAAAATATTTTTGCATTGTACAAGTGAAGCCCAGTGTGAATAAAAATAGATGTAATATCACTCACATGGCCTAAAATCGTCGCCCAATGTGTAGATCTAATGGCTCCTGTGAATAAAAGAAACACTTTAAACATTTATCTGAACCACCCTGAATGCACTAGAGGAAGTTCATTAAATCCAAAGTGTGAAGTGTGCAGACCTGTGGCTTTCTGTCGTCGTACTTCCGCTTGCACGCGTTCAGCTGTCAGCTCTCCTGAAAAAGACAGACCTGTTTATCAGAAATATGTGACCTAAAAAGCACACCGACCGGGCTTCGGTCCAACATCACGCATCTCCAAAGTAAAAAATATGCAGAAGGAACCAGAACATAAGAATGCAGAAAGCACTATTCATGTCTAATCGTGTCTTGCACAGGAAAAAAAGGTGAACGGACAGTATTTCTCAATGACTAGGCACCTGCGGTTTCCAAAAACACACATCATTAGAATTGTGAGATACAGACAACAGTGAAACGCTTGTTTGTATAAACCGGCTCGGTAGGACTGTGTTCCTGGAACAGAACAATGTGCAACCTGCTTCTTCAACCTGGCTGGCATAATTTGGCATTGTAAACCGCAGGCAGAAGTTCTGAATGCCAGACGTTCAGGATGGCCGAAAAAACAGTGGTTGTTCTTGTGCCTGAAATATAAGAAATGCAACCGTCCCCGTTCTGTTCTGGTCTGGTAATGGCAAGGTGCGGTACATGCATGTAGGAATAGTTTGCATGAATACAAATGAGAGAAGATAAGGGTGAAACACCGCAAATGACCTTGTAACCTTGAGCTTTTTTTCTTTTTTGCTAACCCAGAGAAAATTGTATTGCTCTTTCTCACGAACCTTTCCTTTCAGCATCAATTTTAGAAACTTTAGTAGAAAAAACATATAGGCAAACTTTTCATTTGTGAGAATTTGATGAGACATTTTGGAGTTTGCATTGAGATCTCTGGTTTTTGATTGAGATATGACCCGTCTCAACTTCCTGTTTCAAAAGGAAACATGTCAACACAGGACAGAAAACTGTGCCTGTCATATAATAAAGTCTGTATTTCTTTTCTTATTGCGGTCTATGAGAAATATGATCATATTTGCTTTTATGTCACATTAACTACTGCACATTGTTGTTTTAGTATCACTGATATACTATTAATTTTTTAAATAAAAATTAGGGTTTATTTTTATATTTTTATTTTCATTTTAATTGAGTTTTTTCATTTTATTGTGTTTATTGTCATTTTTATCCGTTTTTGTAATCAGGTTTTTTTATAATTAACTAAAACTGAATCAAAAATTAAAAACAAAAACATTTTCGTTACTTGAAATAAATGTTTTATTTCAGCTGGTTTCCAAGGCAACATTTCTCATTTTAATTTAGTTTAACTGTGCTAAAATAACTAAAGCTAAAATGGAAATAAAAATTCATAAAAGTATGAATACATATCCCACCCCAAAAAAAAACTATTAAAAACGACAAAAACAAAATTACTAAAATTGTAACTAAAATTAAAATGAAACCAGAAAGTAAAAACTGATTTAAAATATGAATACAAATTATAATAGTATCTCAATACCACTGTTTAAAATATGTCTAGTTCTTGTTAACTTTTATTTCATTTATGATTATTTTATTGTTTCTATGTAAACTAAAAGATAATGAGAAATTATGCCTTGGCAACTGAAATAAAATAAGTATTTTTTTTTTTATATTAAAAAGTATATACATTTTTAAATAATTATTTCTATTATTATTTTTTTTTTTATAAATGTTTTTTTTTTTATGTTTTAGTTTTAGTTATCGATAATAACCCTGCTACTGCGGTACCAGAATAAACATCTCATGCTGCCAAAACCTGGCTCTCATCTCGACTAAGACACACGCTTGCCGTAAGGTCGCTTCTGACTAAAAGAAGCAAAAAGCTGTTGTCTTCCTCTAAACTTCTCCCTGTTTCTCCCTCAGGGCTCCTCCATCTGTTGGCCGGGGCGGAGAGACGCTCGATGTGAGCAATATCAAGAGAGCAGCTGCTGTCACGAGCAAAGATGGAAAAGGAAGGGCAGCAAAATGGTGAAATAAGAGCCAAAATGAGAGCTTTCATACAATTACACAAGAGTGGGCATGTACATGTGCGATTGATTGGAAAACAATAATATTTATTAAGAAAAATATTTTTGCATTGTACAAGTGAAGCCCAGTGTGAATAAAAATAGATGTAATATCACTCACATGGCCTAAAATCGTCGCCCAATGTGTAGATCTAATGGCTCCTGTGAATAAAAGAAACACTTTAAACATTTATCTGAACCACCCTGAATGCACTAGAGGAAGTTCATTAAATCCAAAGTGTGAAGTGTGCAGACCTGTGGCTGTCTGTCGTCGTACTTCCGCTTGCACGCGTTCAGCTGTCAGCTCTCCTGAAAAAGACAGACCTGTTTATCAGAAATATGTGACCTAAAAAGCACACCGACCGGGCTTCGGTCCAACATCACGCATCTCCAAAGTAAAAAATATGCAGAAGGAACCAGAACATAAGAATGCAGAAAGCACTATTCATGTCTAATCGTGTCTTGCACAGGAAAAAAAGGTGAACGGACAGTATTTCTCAATGACTAGGCACCTGCGGTTTCCAAAAACACACATCATTAGAATTGTGAGATACAGACAACAGTGAAACGCTTGTTTGTATAAACCGGCTCGGTAGGACTGTGTTCCTGGAACAGAACAATGTGCAACCTGCTTCTTCAACCTGGCTGGCATAATTTGGCATTGTAAACCGCAGGCAGAAGTTCTGAATGCCAGACGTTCAGGATGGCCGAAAAAACAGTGGTTGTTCTTGTGCCTGAAATATAAGAAATGCAACCGTCCCCGTTCTGTTCTGGTCTGGTAATGGCAAGGTGCGGTACATGCATGTAGGAATAGTTTGCATGAATACAAATGAGAGAAGATAAGGGTGAAACACCGCAAATGACCTTGTAACCTTGAGCTTTTTTTCTTTTTTGCTAACCCAGAGAAAATTGTATTGCTCTTTCTCACGAACCTTTCCTTTCAGCATCAATTTTAGAAACTTTAGTAGAAAAAACATATAGGCAAACTTTTCATTTGTGAGAATTTGATGAGACATTTTGGAGTTTGCATTGAGATCTCTGGTTTTTGATTGAGATATGACCCGTCTCAACTTCCTGTTTCAAAAGGAAACATGTCAACACAGGACAGAAAACTGTGCCTGTCATATAATAAAGTCTGTATTTCTTTTCTTATTGCGGTCTATGAGAAATATGATCATATTTGCTTTTATGTCACATTAACTACTGCACATTGTTGTTTTAGTATCACTGATATACTATTAATTTTTTAAATAAAAATTAGGGTTTATTTTTATATTTTTATTTTCATTTTAATTGAGTTTTTTCATTTTATTGTGTTTATTGTCATTTTTATCCGTTTTTGTAATCAGGTTTTTTTATAATTAACTAAAACTGAATCAAAAATTAAAAACAAAAACATTTTCGTTACTTGAAATAAATGTTTTATTTCAGCTGGTTTCCAAGGCAACATTTCTCATTTTAATTTAGTTTAACTGTGCTAAAATAACTAAAGCTAAAATGGAAATAAAAATTCATAAAAGTATGAATACATATCCCACCCCAAAAAAAAAACTATTAAAAACGACAAAAACAAAATTACTAAAATTGTAACTAAAATTAAAATGAAACCAGAAAGTAAAAACTGATTTAAAATATGAATACAAATTATAATAGTATCTCAATACCACTGTTTAAAATATGTCTAGTTCTTGTTAACTTTTATTTCATTTATGATTATTTTATTGTTTCTATGTAAACTAAAAGATAATGAGAAATTATGCCTTGGCAACTGAAATAAAATAAGTATTTTTTTTTTTATATTAAAAAGTATATACATTTTTAAATAATTATTTCTATTATTTTTTTTTTTTTATAAATGTTTTTTTTTTTATGTTTTAGTTTTAGTTATCGATAATAACCCTGCTACTGCGGTACCAGAATAAACATCTCATGCTGCCAAAACCTGGCTCTCATCTCGACTAAGACACACGCTTGCCGTAAGGTCGCTTCTGACTAAAAGAAGCAAAAAGCTGTTGTCTTCCTCTAAACTTCTCCCTGTTTCTCCCTCAGGGCTCCTCCATCTGTTGGCCGGGGCGGAGAGACGCTCGATGTGAGCAATATCAAGAGAGCAGCTGCTGTCACGAGCAAAGATGGAAAAGGAAGGGCAGCAAAATGGTGAAATAAGAGCCAAAATGAGAGCTTTCATACAATTACACAAGAGTGGGCATGTACATGTGCGATTGACCTCAAACGCAGACTTTTTTTAATTAAGCTGGCAGTTCAGACAGCAGCGAGGTGAATGATGTTTTGGCGGCTGCGGTTGGGTGGCACTCAGCGAATGTTTAAAACAAACAGAGACAATGTCTCACTGAAGGACTCACATGAAGGACTCTGTGGACTCTCTTGTACACCGGCGTGCCGCTACGATGGCGTCGCTGACGAGCGCTCTGTGCAAACTTTGCTGTTTCTCGTGTTATTTTGTATTATTCGTGTTACTTCTTATACATGCTTTTGCTCAGACAGTACAGACTCTCATCCAGTATGATCGACAAACACTACTGGACATCCGATCTAACTTAAACTTCGGTTCGGAAACAACGGCGCCTCGGAACTCCAGCTTCAGCATTTACGCGCTCCCATTGCTGCCGGCCTGCATCCTAAGACGCCGTCGGAAAAGGAGGAAAGGCAAACGCGCTGGAATTCTATGCAGATCGCGGAAAAGAAGTTTTAATCCTCCTCTCCCTACCATCTTGTTAGCCAACATACAGTCTCTGGATAACAAACTTGACGAACTTAATGCGAGAATCACATTCCAGCGGGACATTCGAAACTGCTGCGTTCTGGCTTTCTGTGAGACGTGGTTACACTCAGAAGTACCCGATACGGCCATAACACCGCCTGGATTCTCCGTTTTTCGTCATGACAGATCGCTAAACTCCGGTAAGAGCAGAGGTGGAGGCGTGTGCTTTATGATTAACACTCGCTGGGGCACTGATGTTACAGTTTTATCTACACACTGCTCCCCAGAGATCGAACTGCTCTCTATTAAAGTGCGTCCCTTCTACCTCCCGCGGGAGTTTAATTCAGTGATTCTCACAGTTGTTTACATCCCGCCTCACGTGGACAAAACGAAAGCATTGGACGAACTGTACAGCACCATAAATAGATTAGAAATTGCTCATCCTGAGGCTGCTTTCATCGTTGTTGGGGATTTTAACAGGGTGAATATGAGGAAAGTTCTTCCTAAATTCTACCAGCACATAAATTTCCCCACACGAGGGGATCAGACATTAGATCACTGCTATTCAACACTAAAGGACAGTTACAAACCCCTCCCCCGACCAGCATTTGGCAAAGGTGACCACATTAGCATACTGCTGTTACCAGCCTACAGACAATGCCTCAAACAGGAAAAAACAGTTTCTAAAACAGTTCACAAATGAAGTGAAGATGCCATCGCCACACTGCAGAACTGCTTTGAATCCACAGACTGGCAGATGTTTCAAGATGCAGCAGGAGACAACATACATGAATACACAGATTCTGTGATATGCTACATCAACAAATGCACAGAGGATGTTGTCCCATCCATTAATGTTAAATCATTTCCAAACCAGAAACCATGGGTCAATGGTGAGGTGCGTGCCAGGTTAAGAGCACGAACTGCTGCCTTCAACTCTGGGGATCTAACTGCTTACAAGAAGTCCAGGTATGACCTTCAAAAAACTATCAAATCAGCCAAAAGAGACTTTAGGCACAGAGTGGAGTCAGAATATCACGGCTCTGACCCCCAACACATGTGGAGCAGTTTGTGCTATATCACTGACTACAAAGGAAGGAAAAGCAGTGTTGTGTCACTGAAGTCACTCAATATCTCAGTGCCCTCCAAGTACGTCTATATCTGTATGTTTTTTTGTATGGTCCTGTTATTGTCACTGTATGTCTGAGCCTTGCATTTCACATTTCAATGCCCAGTTTTCCCCAGTGTTAACTATGCAAATGATAAATAAATGCCTCTTGACTCTTGACTCTTGACTCACTGCTGCTCGCTCTGTTTTCTCAGTAAACAGTTGCGACACTACCGTACGGCATATTTGTGATTAAAGAAACATATCACGTGACTGACATAATGACAGCAAAGCTGAAATAATAACATTTTTTTTTATGTGTTAAAGGTGAAACATTTTCCAGTTCAAAAGTTTTAGCTCTTAAGAAATGCATAGTACTTTTGAATGACGTGTGATAGGATTCGTTTTTCAATGGCGGAAAATGATGTTGTATATCTAAAAAGTGCTTATATAGTGCTGATGCATATGAGTTGCATGCAAACTTAAAAGCTTATTTTGCACATTTATTTAAAATGCAATAAAAAATTGGTGGTCATGGTTATTGGCCTGATTGATCGACCAAATATTAGGCAATTTATCGGCCTGTATTTCCACAAACGCATTGTAAACGAAACAGTTTCCACCAACAGGAGTCAATATAAACTCTAAGACTTCTAATTGACCACTAAGACACAAAAAAGAAAAAAAAAAAGTGCGCATTTCTGTTTTTAAATCTATTAACTTGTAAGATAACATTTCACTATATATGCAATCTTCTTGGTTCTCACATACATTCTTGTGCTTTTTTATACTATTGTAATTTGCACATAAAAGAGCAACATCAAACAGTGTTATTATTGCTAATTAAAACTATTCAAAATCGATAACTGAAATAAAGCTGAAATAAAATATAAATATTAGATGAAAAACTTGAAAAATGAAAATTAGAAATGCTGCCTTGGGTAACTAACTGAAATAAACTAAGTTTAAGTAGTAAATTTACTATTACAATAAAATATAAATAAATTAAAGCTAAATAGAAATATTTAGAAAAAAAAAGAAAGAAAATAAAGGGGGGAAAAAAACTAAATAAACCTGAAAAAAGCACATCTGAAAATGATAGAAACTTAGAAATATAAAACTAAAATATATATATATATATATATATATATATAATAGTACATAAATAATAGTAAAATAGGGTCAAAATTGTGCTGAATAACATGTTGTGTCTAGCAAACAAACATGAATTTCTAACAACATGAGGGTGAGTAGCTGATTTTTAATTTTTGAGTGCACTATCCCTTTAATCTCATATAAACACGCTCTCACATATGTCTGCTTGTTTTCAGAAAACACAAAGAGCAGTTCTCCAGGTCAGAGATGCAGCGACTGACACTGATGGTTTTCTCACACCTGCTGACGCACCACTCTTAACAAAACCTTCCCCAAGAAAATAAACAAGGCCAGAGAGAGACGAGCGCAGGTCGCCCAGTGGAGTCC